CAAAAAAATTTTTTCAGTTTAAAAATTATTTTTCAGTTTCAAATATTTTTTCCATTTTCAAAAAAATTTTTTCAGTTTAAAAATTATTTTTCAGTTTCAAAATTTTTTTTATTTTGAACAAAACTTATGACCCCAATTTAGCTCCACACTGGGCTCATTGGAGACCAGTTGGGAGGCTAAAACTGTGAGAAAACAGGCAAATTTTTCATCGCAGTCTCAATTATTTCTGAGGGTTTGCAACCAGAGAGCCATGCAGCTACATTTTCAGTTGCAAATTTTGAATAATCATTACAAAAAAAAAAAGCTGGTTTGTACTTTTGGCCTTGCACATTGTTTTGGTGCCTGTTCATGCTCGTGTCGTTCCCACCCTGGCAGCTGCCTCGCACTATTTGATTTAATCACCTCAGAAATAAAAATAAGCAGATTTGGTCCATGCAGTGTTTAAATAATCTGGGTGGAGTTCAGTTTTTTTGCCCTCCGTATCTCATCAGAGGAAACAGTTCTAACAGGAGGCCCTGCACAGGTTTCAGTTAATTTTTATTAAATAACAAATGAAATGAAAACGTGTAGAGGGGATGTTGGGAGTGGTGCAGACTGGACCTGAACGTCTCACGATAGGCCCGTCTTTGCTTCGCTCTTTCCTGGAAGAGAGACAAACAGCAGAGACACGTCAAAGGTTAGAAATGCACACGACAGAAAGCTGCAGCGGGACGACTCTGCCGTACTCCAGAGGCGACCGTCCAGCTCCTGCCCGAGCAGGTAGAGCAGGGTCACCACAGACATGTTGAACAAGAAGAAGCCCATCAGACCAGCAGCACTGAAATACCCCAGCAGAGGATACACCCAGATTCCTACTGACGCATACACCCAGATTATCCTGAAAGAACACGTTTGAAAAGCTTTTAGACCGTCACAGCGTGCTCCGTCTCGTCTTTACAGTCAAACACAAGGAGACAGAGGTTTTTAGCCACAAAACAAGAACACTTACCAAGATAAATAAGCCAGACCCACGAGTCCTAACGCTGCCAGAGCGGAGAGTTTGGTCTTTGGGTAGGCGTGAGGCTGCAGCAGCAGCTCGCCGAGTAAAACAGGAAAGACAAACGTGTGCTGCGAAAAGATACACAGAACATCCAGGACCAGAGAGTCAGGATGGTTGGATTCTTTCAAACTGAATTTTAAAAAAAGAAAAAGAAAAGG